TTAGGGTTTCGGATCTGTTAGGGTTTCGTTTCGGATCTGTTAGGGTTAGGGTTAGGGTTAGGGTTGTGGTTTAGGGTTTAGGGTTAGGGTTAGTATTTGGGGTTAGGGTTAGTATTTGGGGTTTCGTTTGGGGTTTAGGGTTTAGGGTTAGGGTTAGTATTTGGGGTTTCGTTTGGAGTTTAGAGTTTTTTTACCTATTTGATACGAAATTCTAACCAACTTTGTAGATGAGTCACGAAAGACGTGGTTCGAGTTCTCGTTCTGGTAGTCATAGCGGGAACAACACTCGATTCCGTGGTCGTGGTGTTGGATCACCAGCGATCCAAAGTCAACGAACCCCTGATCCACTGCAGTTGGATCAACGTTTCACTGGTCAGGGTACTCCCCAGGCTTCATTTGAGGCCGGAGGTTCCGGCCATCGCTCTGTTTATGCTGGGATCTCTCTTAGAGAGATCCCAGCATCAGAGAGTCGACGACAACAACCTTGTATCAATCCTGATTCGGTTGATGGAGCGTTGTGGTAAGTATATTCTAACACCACTTTCGTTTCCGATTAAAATCGTCCATCGTTCAACTTAATTAATGTTTTTGAATATCATAGGTTTGATCGGAATGATCAGTTGGTTGAGAGTATCAAAACGATCTACCGTTCTGATTATCATGGCCCATGGCGTAGCATCTCTCGGGTCCCGCAAGATGTCTTGGCACGATGGTTTGCTGCTTTTGCGGTATTGTCTTAACTTGTTCGTTTTTGGTTTAATATATCTTTTTTAGTATTAAATAACTAACACATATTGTTTAAAGCAATCTTATTACTGGGATCCTTCTGTGCATGATATCGTCCATCGTGCGTGGAAGGATTGTCTCGGTGCGAGATTGCGAGATAACCTTTATAGGTTGAAATTCTTGCGGAAGAAGCCGGACTGGATTAGTTTAGACATCTGGGCGCAGCTGGAGGTAATATGGGATTCAGAGGAATCTCAAGAGAAGAGTCGGATCGCATCGACGAATCGAAAGGCGAAGTCTGCTTCCGACCGTGCCCCAGGAACTCACACTGCGGGGAGAAGATCGGGAATCCTTCCCGTCGGTGTGGATACGTGTAGAGGAGCTGTACTTTCAGCTCTTGGTGATTAAAACAGGCCCTGGATCGATCGCTACTTTCAGATCTTCAGGAAAGAGGTAAGTATTCGATTCCTACGGTGATATACACGATCTGTCGGGGTTTTACGGATGATTTTGGTTGCGTGTGACGTTTGACTAGGTTTAGATTATCCTTCCGCTGCATGAAACCTAGTAAACCAAACCCTAGATCGATATGATCGCATGCTAGGAATCTGTAGCCTAAATCCCTTATCATGGCCCATGGCGTAGCATCTCTCGGGTCCCGCAAGATGTCTTGGCACGATGGTTTGCTGCTTTTGCGGTATTGTCTTAACTTGTTCGTTTTTTGTTTAATATATCTTTTTTAGTATTAAATAACTAACACATATTGTTTAAAGCAATCTTATTACTGGGATCCTTCTGTGCATGATATCGTCCATCGTGCGTGGAAGGATTGTCTCGGTGCGAGATTGCGAGATAACCTTTATAGGTTGAAATTCTTGCGGAAGAAGCCGGACTGGATTAGTTTAGACATCTGGGCGCAGCTGGAGGTAATATGGGATTCAGAGGAATCTCAAGAGAAGAGTCGGAACCAAGACTCTAAAATCAACTCAAGGGATTTTCATCCCAAGAGAGCATTAAAATCCATTCATCAATCCAAAACATTCACTCTCATTCAATGGCAATCCATCTACTCATGAATCCTAAGTCTCCAAAGAGATTCAATCAAAGAGGGATATAGAAAATAACCATTTTTGCGGTATTGTCTTAACTTGTTCGTTTTTTGTTTAATATATCTTTTTTAGTATTAAATATCTAACACATATTGTTTAAAGCAATCTTATTTGTGGGATCCTTATGTGCATGATGTCGTCCATTGTGCGTGGAAGGATTGTCTCGGTGCGAGATTGCGAGATAACCTTTATAGGTTGAAATTCTTGCGGAAGAAGCCGGACTGGATTAGTTTAGACATCTGGGCGCAGCTGGAGGTAATATGGGATTCAGAGGAATCTCAAGAGAAGAGTCGGATCGCATCGACGAATTGAAAGGCGAAGTCTGCTTCCGATCGTGCCCCAGGAACTCACACTGCGGGGAGAAGATTGTTTGCTAAAGTTGCTCTCAATATTGTAAGTATTTTGTGAAAATTGATTTATTTGTTTTTAAATTTTACTAATATTTTTGTATAACTTGTTTAGGCCGAGAAAGAAGGCGTTCAACCGTCTGCTCTGCGTGTCTTACAAGACACGCATCGTCGATCGGATGGGACGTACGTAGATCATCGTGCCCAAGAAATTGAAGAGGCCATTCAATCGAAGATTACCGATCGAATGACGATGGACGAGAGCAGCGGTTCAACGCAATTGACTCCGCAGGAAATCAACAGCTTGTATCTCGAGGTAATTTTTGTATTTTAAATAATATAACAAGTTAGAGTTTAAATATTATTTACACATTGTTTTGAAGGTCGTTCCTCCCGATGCGAAAGGTCGGATTTACGGGATTGGTGCGTTGGCGAGTCAGCTCGGGGGTGGTGACGCATCTTCGTCGTCTGTGGTACGTCATGTATCTCTGACGCGTGAAGTCGAGGAGCTGAAGAGAAAACACGAGGAGACTTCTGCGGAACTTGTAGCTGCTCGGGAGAAGATTGCTCAGTTTGATGCAGCTCAGGCGAAGATCGCTCGGTTAGAGGAGATGATGCAACGTTTTATGCCTCCGACCGATTCCGCCGGTTCGTCTGCTCCGAGTCCCGCCGTCAATCCCGATCCATCGGTTCATCAAGACGAGCAACATCCCCAAAATCTCGATGATTTTCCGGACAATTTATTTCGTTAGATTTCAATTTTGTAATATATAAAACAATTTCGGTTTTTTTTTTTCAATTTGTAATATATAAAACAATTTACAAATGTATAATTATTTTTTTTAAACGATTTTTTTTATTTTTTTTCGAAAAAAATTTCTTATGCGACGGAATAATCCGTCGCATACGGAATAATCCTACGGAAATCTTCTGTCGCTTTCCATAGCTGCGACGGAACTATCCGTCGTTATAAGCCGTCGCTAATTTGCGACTATTATCTGACCAATCCTCCCGTCCCTCTTTGCGACTATTATGCGATGGATGATCCGTCGTACTATCCGACGGAATTAGACGGAGATTCCGTCGGTCAGAGCGACGACTGAACGACGGAATTTCCGTCGCGTTTACCATGGAAAAACGACGGAGTTTTCGTCAGGCATATCGACTAGATTGCGACAGTTAGTCCGTCGCTTTTCCCGGCGGAATATTCCGTCGCAAAAAACGACTGACTTACGACGGTTGTTTCCGTCGCAAATATGCGACGGATGCACGATCGGGATGTGTTTGCGACAACCATTAACGGACGGAACTTATTCCGTCGATGTCCGTCGCAAACTAAAAATACCGACGGAATTTCTTCTTTCGTGCGACGGATATTTTCGTCGGAAATATGAGTGTTTTTTGTAGTGGAAGTCTGACCCGATTCAGCCCAAACATAGCGGGTTTCGGGACTTATGATTAGGGGTGAGCGTTTCGGAAAACGGTTCGGGTTCGGGACGGAATGGTTCGGTTCTTTCGGTTTTACAAAAATAGGTACCAATCGAGTTTTTTATTGTATTCGGTTCGGTTCGGTTTCGGTATCGGTTCGGTTCTGAATTTTATTAAAAAAATGATAGATTTCCTTTAAAAATATTCGGTTTTTTCGGGATTTTTAAAGTTCAGCTCGGTTCGGTTCCGGGAAAATTCGGTTCTCTAAAAATGATACCCTTCGAAAAATAACAGGGATTTGGGGTCGGGAAAAATACCGTTTTAACGGTTCGGTTCGGTCCGGTTCTTAAGTACCAAACCGAAATGCTCAGCCCTACTTATGATGATGATATTCAAAAATCATAACATGTGGTTTTCAAAATAGGCAAGACATGTTTTGTTAGGAAAAAAAAAAAAAAATTACGTGAATGTGATTAATGATGTTACCTTATCAACGTTTGTGCGTACTGTCGTGCGTATACTAAGCACAAATTAATTAAAAAATATATAGATGAATCTATGACACTGTCGGACGGCATGGCGGGATAAACCATTAATATGCTTATATTATATAAACTAACAATTTTATATATAGCACGTCTTATTCCATAAACATATATTATATCACAGATTATAACCTTTTAAAGCTGCTATGCAAAAAACATATATTTATTGCTCTATTTACATTTCGATTTCAACAGTCCGAATCCAATGGTTTTCCATTCGATCATCTATTAATAAATCCTACAAGCATCGGATTTAGGTGGACCGGGCTTTCCTATGTGAAAACTTTATGGGCCGAAAAGAGAAACAGGCCCAAAACAGTTAGAAACCTCAACGGGTTTGGCCCATTATATATATATATAAAATAAAATGGAGAAAATCTCGGGTAATCTGCCAGCGAGACAACCAACCAGATCCAATCATGCGGGTCCATATCTAACAAAGACCAAAAATACTTTTCTTCCTTCCTTTTTCCACGCGCTTCTCCATCTGCGCGTCTCATACACGCTCTCCTAACCCATCGAGTTTAAAATTAATCACGACGGACCAAAAAAGCGGTAGCACCACGCGCTCCTTGGTAATCTTACATTATTTCGATGGCTTACGTGGCACTCATTAACCGCTTTACCTGTCGGCACGATGAATTCCAATCACATGCATCTGTGCTTACGCTAATTTACAACAAAAAGCGGTTCACAGCCGTTGGATCATGCGGCATAGAAGATCAACGGCTAAGGAAACGAGCGGCTCACACACACCGCACGCGGGAAATACGCTGCACCGTACCACATGATGGAGAGGATATAAGGTCTCTTTCCTCTCGGGAAAAATCTGATTTATCCACTTTTTTTTAGGTTCTGTTTCTGTTTTTTTTTTCCTTTTTCGTTTTTTTTTTGTGGGGAAGAGGAAAATTTAGTTGTTCTTCTGTTGAGAGCCAATGGCGGAGGAGCAGAAGAACATCAAGGTCTCACGACGGACCAAAAAAGCGGTAGCACCACGCGCTCCTTGGTAATCTTACATTATTTCGATGGCTTACGTGGCACTCATTAACCGCTTTACCTGTCGGCACGATGAATTCCAATCACATGCATCTGTGCTTACGCTAATTTACAACAAAAAGCGGTTCACAGCCGTTGGATCATGCGGCATAGAAGATCAACGGCTAAGGAAACGAGCGGCTCACACACACCGCACGCGGGAAATACGCTGCACCGTACCACATGATGGAGAGGATATAAGGTCTCTTTCCTCTCGGGAAAAATCTGATTTATCCACTTTTTTTTAGGTTCGGTTTCTGTTTTTTTTTTCCTTTTTCGTTTTTTTTTGTGGGGAAGAGGAAAATTTAGTTGTTCTTCTGTTGAGAGCCAATGGCGGGGGAGCAGAAGAACATCAAGGTCGAAGCAGAATCGCCGGCGGCTACGGCTCCGGCCGAGGAGAAGAAGCCTGACGACTCAAAAGCCCTAGCCGTCATCGAGAGTAATCTCTTTCTCTCTCTCCCAATACATGCACATATACATACACACGTGTATGTAAGCTCATCTGTTTCGTGATATCTGCGTGAACTTCTTTGGTCGTTGATTTACAGAACCGGAAGAGCCTGAACAGAAGAAAAGTTCATCCGGTGGTTCAATTGACAGAGGTGAGGTGAACTGAACATCATGCTCGGACAAGTTTCTTCTCTTTGCTTCATAGTTAAAACATTGGCCGTATTCGTGTTGTTGTTGTTGTCAGACGTTGTTCTAGCAGATCTGGAAAAGGAGAAGAGACTGTCGTTCATCAAGGCGTGGGAAGATAGCGAGAAGACAAAGGCCGAGAACAAGTAAAGACATATGCTCTCCTCCCGGACTTACATATTCAACAGTAGCTTATGGTTGGGTTCTAACGGATTTATTGGTTCGGGCAGGGCTCAGAAGAAGATCTCCGCCGTTCTTGCATGGGAGAACAGCAAAAAGGCAGCCATTGAAGCCGAGCTGAAGAAGATCGAGGTGGACTTTTGTTTGTCTTTCTTAGATTCGTGATATCTATGATTCAGTTCAGAGTTCAGACATGGTGAGAGTGATGTTGTTTTGACAGGAGCAACTGGAGAAGAAGAAGGCGGAATATGGAGAGAGGATGAAGAACAAGGTGGCAGCGATCCACAAGGAAGCAGAGGAGAAGAGGGCAATGGCCGAAGCCAAACGCGGAGAAGAGAAGCTCAAGGCCGAGGAAATGGCTGCCAAATACAGAGCCACCGGAAATATCCCCAAGGCGACCTGTGGATGTTTCTAAGCCCTGATGATTTTTTTTCTTTTCTTAAATCATTGTAAGTTTTTCAGCTGTAAACCTTCTCTTTCAAACAGGATCTTCGTTCAGAGCTTTGATCAGACACTGTCTGTAATGTATATTTCTCTTTTTTTGTTTTTTTTTTTATGGCGAGGTATTTGGGTGTTCAAAAGTAAATTTCTGAAGCATCAATCGTGTTTTGCATTTGCCATACAATTGTCCAATATATAACCGAGCTGGAGAAGTGAAAAATCAAAAGGCACATAGGGGCAGAACAGTAATAATAGCTTAGTCTGGGTTTGTGATAATCGAAGAGCAATATCATCACTCATCTGCTCCTTCTATATATATATATATATATATATATGATTTGAAACTTTTGCAGACCCTTCAATCGCATTGCTTGACGATGAACGAAAAAGATAGATTATTGATAAAAAAAAGGATGAAGATTCGGTGAGACTTTTCTTGGATCGTGGTTGATGGCATATGAGCACAAGTTTTTTTAGAATTTTTCTTCTTTTTTAATATATAAAACTACATCATTATGTAACATGATGCGGATATTTATTTTTTCAAATGATTACATGACAGATTTAAATCTTTTGCCTTTAATTTTTTTTCTATATGGATTTCTATGCGCCACATCATCTTAAACCAATATAAACATAAAGATTGTATTTTTTTTAATGTAAAATATATAGTTGATGACTTTAAGTAATTAATTGAAAGTAGGTAGCTTTTTTAAAAATTAAAAAAAAAAAGAGAGGAAAGAAGAGGCGTGGGATTAGGTGATTGTGGGGAGAATCTCATAAACGTGGGTTGGGGTTAGCTCTAATACAAATATATACAGAGCCTGGCCAATAAACCCAAATCTCCTACAAGACAAAATTCAGACAAAGGCCCCAACAAGAACGGAGCTTCTGGGTGGACGAAGTTTGAAAACCAACCCTCCCCCTAAGAAAAACAAAACCCATTGGTGGAAGAAGATCGCTAAGTCACATAACTGCGACGCAAACTATATCTAATAACCCCACGTACAAAAAACTAAGAGACTGAGTGTAGAGATCGACCTTCTGTGTGGTTAGCCAATTCCTCAAACACCTGAACAGAGTAGTGCCCAACAACAATGATGTTATCCATCATGTGTGTGTGTGTGTTGGGAGAGAGAGAGAGAGAGAGAGAGAGAGAGAGAGAGAGAGAGAGAACTCGCCTCTGTTGTATGGAGAGTAAGGCAGAGGCTCCGAAGTTACCGGCAATAGATTGCCTGATCAATACTAACAGGAATTGGCTTGATCTCTGCTCCAAGTTCTTGCTCCGTCCTATACCTGTTTTTGTTTTTTTAAATCAACCGTTCGGATGGATTGGTTTACCGACATATTCAAACACCAGATATTGTATATGACACTCACACACACACACACTTACAACTTGAATCGGTCCTTGGATGTTATCAAATTCACCGCAAGCCCCAGGTGTCCAAACCTTCCTGATCTACCTATCTGTCAAAAAATGCACGCAAATTGCTCAAACTCATTACTCTCTTACTCCTGGAAACTTTACTTACACAAGCTACAAGGCCTACCCTGTGCAGATACGTTTCTGTGCTCTTCGGAAAATCAAAGTTAATAACCACATTCACAGATTGGATATCGATTCCACGCGTACACAGATCTGCACCAATCTCTTCAAATTCAGTTTTCTCAATTTGATAAACACACAGCACACAAAAAAAAAAAAACAAACATACCAGTGCAGACAAGATTTCTGCATGCACCATTGCGGAAATCATGGAACACCCTGTTCCGATGGTCTTGAAGCATATTTGAGTGAATATAGAAACATGAATAGCCTAGTTCTGTGATTTTCTTGGCCAACAGCTCCACCCGAGCGACAGAGTTGCAAAAGACGATTGATTGATTTATTTGCAGCTGCATTAAAAAATAAACAATAATTTCTTCTAAGCAATCCAAATCAAGTAATAGAATAACGTGTGGTAACAGGGTCTGTCAGGACATCTAACCTTAGAGAAAAGAGTGCATAGGCAGTGCACCTTCTGCCTTTCTTCAACATAAGCATAATATTGCGTGACACCCTTTAGTGGGAGTTCATTCATGAGATTAATAACGTAGGGCTTCCGCAGATATCTCTTCGTAAAGTCCTTCATGGTCAGAGGGAATGTAGCTGAAAACAACAGAATCTGGCGATTTTCTGGCAGGAACTGTATCAATTGCTCTATTGAAGGTTGAATCTCTGCAGACAAAAGCTTGTCGGCCTAATAAAATATATTTGTAATGAGTCAGAACTTTAAAACCATGATATGAAAACCCAAATAGACGAGCATTATTCAGATACTACAAATGAAATATCCATGACTCTGCCTGCACATGTGATAGAATCCATTTTGTAGTATCTTCAACAGCAGCTCTTTTTCTCAGCTAAGACACACTGGAGAAATAAATTAACTGAAAAATGGAATTGCTAGGGAAAACTACCAGGCACTCACCTCATCCAGTACAAACATTGCACAATCTTCCAAGGCGCAAACGCCCTTTTTAGCCAGATCTAAGATTCTTCCAGGAGTTGCAACAAGCAGATGAACAGTTTGATATAATCGCATGATATCATCTCTCAAACTGGTACCGCCAGTGGTGACCATAACCTGTATCTTCAAATGCTTGCCAAGCTCCTTGCAAACCTGTGATGTCTGAAGGGCCAACTCGCGGGTCGGGACCAGGATCACAGCTGCATTAAGAAGACAGATAAACAAAGTCGTACAGAGGCAAAAAAAAAGCCAGTTTTTCATAATAGACGGTCTAAATATTGCATGTTGAAAAGGCACTCCGTCAATGCTTTCACTGTAGTAATCTCCAATTTGTGCTAAGAAACTGGACAGACAAGTATGAATAAGAAAAATAGCGGAGAGAAACTTCAAACAGAGAAGATTTTCGACATGTAAACAAAGAACCTTGGATGACATTGTTATCAGGATCAATTTTCTCGAGGGCCGGAATGCAAAATGCAGCAGTCTTTCCTGTCCCATTTTTGGATCTAGCAAGAATATCGCTGCCGGTCAAGGCAATTGGAATGCTTTCTTCCTGTACAGGAGACGGCTTTTGAAAACCTTTCTCATATATTCCCATGAGCAACTCTCTTTTCAAAAAGTAATCTTCAAAGTCATTTCCCTTGGTGGTTGTCACGTCCTGCAGACAACAAGGGGAAAACGTTATCTCGAAACAAGTACAAACCCAAACCATCAGATGGACGTCCATTTATCCAGCTTTAGTACATAATGCTGAGAAAGAAGCGTCTACTTCCACGAAAGACTCTTGCAAACAAGAACAACAAACCCAAACCATCGTTTATTGACAAGGAAACACACCTCTGTCCTATGACGAGTATCTGGAGGTGGCGGCCTTAAGTCCTGGCTACTGATAAGTAGAAGACAACGCACAATCCGTGAGATTTAAAAAAAAAACATAGAACTTCAACTCGATTAAGACGAAAACAAGGGGGCAATTCTCTACACCAAAAACACATTCTTGACACTCATTCTTGTCCTCCAAGGCCAATATCATTTATATAAAGCAAACCTTATTCCACTGTTCTGCCAAGTAGTTTCCTACGAGAATCGCAGAAGAGAGAATACCGTACGTAGTATCACTGTCGTCGGAATGAACCGTCTTCTCGACATTGTCAACATCAACTTCGCTGGCGTTTCCAGGAAGCCGAGCGACTCTGGTCCACTGCCGCTGCTGTTGGGGCACCTGTGCGTACCCTCGCTGAGCGTACTGTTGAGGCTGCTGCCGCTGACCTCTCGACCGAGACGCTGTTCCACGTCCCGCTTCAACCCCAGATGGATACCGTCCTCTGCTATTCATCGCAAATTTCTCTCGATCTTCGAAAGCTAGAGACAAGAAACCAAATCTCACCAACGATCTTTACAACTAAAACCAGTAAAGAAGATAACCGCAAGTCCTAGAGAAGCCGGAACCGACGAATCTGTCAGGTGTCAAGTCGTCAACAATCAATCCGAAGTTAGCGAGAAATGCTCGATCGAGCCTAGGGTTTTAAGAGATGATCTAGAAACTCGCGCCAAGATCGAAATGTTCAAATTAATCACAAACCGATCTGCGAGGAAACGCAAATGAAAAATAATCGAATTCTTATGTGTTCTCCAAGATGAACTTGAGAGAGAGGGAGGGAGAGAGTGAGAGATTTCACTCGGAGAGAGCAAAGCAACAATTTTCTTGGAAAATTCTGCCGTTTGGTTACGTGAATGGAAAATGCGCCGATAATGATATATATATATATATATATATATAT